AATTGGGACTCTACAGAGTACAATTTGGGATTTAATTGTACTCCTCTTGTCCAATCAGAATCAAGTAATTTTGTAGAGTGTATTGTAAATATAAAAATTTGTGGCCTTAGTTGGTATAATCACGTAATACATTGTGGGTTTTATCAAGTTTTGAAATGATAGGAGAATGTAATGAACTAGCTGGAGATTCCTGAGGACCAACTTTTAAATTACTAAGCTATTAATGGTAGTTTATGTTCATTTATCAAAGCATTCTTTGATCCCCAACCCATAATGGAACCCCTGAAACATAACAAAAAACATTCCATTTATGTAAGCAGTGTCATACCTTGTACAGCCCAAATTTGAAGCTGACAGTCTACGAACAATGCCTCAGCACGAGATCCAGGAATCTAAACAAGATGCATAACCATTGAATGTAGTGTTAATCTCTAGAAATGAATTGACAAAATTCTCTCATTTAATGAGAAAATTTCCAATTATTTATGGCCATTTCTTACCTCGTTGAATAGGTATCCAATTACTGGCCTGTCCTTCATAAAATTTGCAAACTAAAAATTAGAGATAAAAAGTCAGGTTTAACCCTTTCACTACTAGAGGCTAAAAGGGTCTAACACAGGCTCTTCCTGGAACATAATTAGGGTGTTTTTTATTTCTCAATATCAAAATGAAAAACATATGGTCAGTAGATATTGAGGCCTTATTAACACACAAATCCAAAATGGCGGCCAGCCACTTTGTTGCTGTTACTGGGAAAAAATGTCTTTTATCTTATTTTTTTCTTTTTTTAAAAGAATCACCTGTGTATTCATACTAAAACAATTCTTTGCCTCAGCCTCAGTGAATATCGGAGAATATCTACCTCGCCTCTCCAAGCTCACTTCTTGGTAAATATCCCCTGATATTCACTTCACCTTTGGCGAATAATTGTTAATTCAAAGATATAGGGAGGGAGACATGGACTTACATGGTGAGGGATTTGTTTTATTCTCCATGGTAAAGCATCCACCTATCAACGAAAATATGAGAAAACCTTCACTTACAAGGTGCTCTTTCACAGGAAGAACTACACTGTACAATGGTCAAGTGTTTTTAACATGAGGCTCGTTGCTCGGAAGATTGGGCAACCACTTCCCACGTTATCAACTTTAAATAAATTATTATTATTATTATTATTACTATTATTAATATTATTATTATACCTGCATGTATTAAGTGGACACCTATTTAAAATTTTGAGTAGTGTCTGCCGAGTAAGAGTTGTCTACTGAATTTAGGGTTATTATACAATAAGTACCGTGCAATGAGGTTTCCATGTCCATTCAATGAAGGATGTCCTCCAAACAGGGATTGTTTTATTGGAAATTACATATAAACTATTGGAAATATAATGCAGACACTGATTGGCTGGCTAACATGTTTATTTTTGAGGAAACAGACATGCTAGCTCAAAACAGTTCAGTTTTGTTTTTGAAAAAGCAAATGGAATATAAAACATCTGCTTATGACTCTATATTGCGATATTAATACTCTTGGAGCTGTAGAGCATTTGAAAAGCCAGAGAAACACTCATCTACGCCTTGTACTGTATTACTAAAATAATGCTTCTCTCATGCTCTATAACTCCCAGCGTGTTTATATAACAGTACAGAGAAATTTTATATTCCTTAAATATATGGGAAGAACATTTTGGGACCTCAGCAACTGTTCTCTTACTGTTCACTTCATGTACTGTAAGAGAGGAAGCACTGTGCTGTCAAATGTAGAGACAAGAAAACTTTTTACCTTTTTATTCTCAGGAATAACACTTTTCTGAAGAGGAGTATTTTTTGATACAAGAGAAGTATCTCTTGGAGAAGAGAAACGTTGAGTTGCACTGCTTTCCTCTGGGATTGAAATAGAATAAAAGATGTTTTCTTACATTTATTGACCATGTACCTAACTATAGTTGTTTTTTAAAAAAAGAGACATTATTTTTAGAACTCTCTGTGTGCCAGCAAAGTTTACTCCAAGCCCTAGCTAGTAATGTACTAGTATTGCTGGGTTTCAATCAGCTCATAAAGTCTTTGAATCTCATTATCTACTCCAAATGGTGGTCAAACACTGACCACTATGTATTGTCAACCAGAAAGAATTCTATTGCTGGGTTTCAATCAGCTGATATAATCATTTGAATCTCATTATCTGCTCCAAATGGTGGTCAAACACTGACGACCATGTGCTGTCAACCAGAAAGAATTCTATTGCTGGGTTTCAATCAGCTGATATAATCATTTGAATCTCATTATCTGCTCCAAATGGTGGTCAAACACTGACAACAATGTGCTGTCAACCAGAAAGAATTCTATTAAAAACTTGTTTGTGATTCAGCTGAACATTCTACACGAGAAAGGAGTAGATGTAAAGTGAAAGCTAGCAATTACAGTACCTCGAACAGATGACCAAAGTCTAGGCCTGGGAGTTGTAGAATTCAGTGGTGTTGGTGGAGTAATACCCTTGGGAGTGTTCGTAAAAGTAGGTGACGCAAAAGAGCCTATAAAGAAAAGAAAATGATTATAGTTAAATTATAGCCCTCAAGGATACCATAGATTATACAACCATTCTCAAAATTACTGTCATACTCTATGGTTGCCATGGAACTGAATAACAGACCTCTACTCACGACACCTCAGTTTTGCAGAGGCATCATTTCTATGCCACTATTTCACATCAGCTAGTAAATCAGCTAGTACAGTACATGTATGTGCTATCTGTCACATGGACATTTTGTCAGTGTGGTTGTCATGGTATCAAACAAAAAAGGCCTGTTGCCATGGAAACCTACCAAGAGGTCCATTAGTAGGTGTTCTTGCATACATCCATGGTTCAGAGTTCTGTTGTCTTTGGTGTGTCTGGTATTCCATCAGTGAGTTCATATCGGCAGTGAATGCATTCAGCATGGCGAGACATTCTTCGGAAATATTGGACCAATTCGCAGGCCTTCCGCCTGTTAAACCAAGCAAAAAAAAATTATAGCAAATACAAAATGTTTTTAGTTATGAGGGTTAAAAAGAGAGAAATGGTGAGGTCTGTCAGAAGGGAAGGAATAGGAAGAGCCAACATTGAAGAGGGACTGAGGGGAGATGAGAATGATCTGTCTGCGGACAAGCCAATTACCTGGTTGTGTGAGACAAAATATTTGCTTTCTTCTTGTGCTGCTAAATTGCGAGAGCTGACAGAGGTCCAGGAAAGCAAGATACTAAAGGAATAGAAAAAAGGTATCAGCTACTATTGGTACTGTAGTAACAGTTTTGATCTCTTTTTATCAACAGGTGCCATCATACTTCTAAGATGATCTTCCCTATCAACTACTCCCTATCGTCACAAGGGCAGATCCAGGGGGGCAAAGGGGGGCTGAAGCCCCCCTCAGCAGAAAAAAAAACAAAAAAACTGAAGAATTCGATGCTTTCTTTATTGTTTTCGGAAGAAACTCAATTCGCCCCCCCTCTAAAATTTTGGCTGGATCTGCCCTTGCATCATCACCATCAGAACCACTTATTTATGATCCCATCATTATAAACACAAACAATCAACCAACATTAAAACGCTAGCCCTCTTCCTTTGATAACTCACCCTTAACAATGGCACACTTTTTGTTTTGATAACGACAGGAAGACATTTATCCTTATTCTGTGTAACAGGTGACTCAATTGGAAACTGATAGGCCTGAAAAGTTGACCAATAAAATGTCAGCACTATCAAGCACAAGGTCACTCCCCCCAGACACAAGGGTCTCTTAGGGTTGCTGGTTAATAAAGAACAGCACAAGGGATTTTTCAGTCTTGGTGCTGCAACTATTTTGGTAGCCTTAAAATAAAATAAATATTAAATAAATTCATCCTTGTTTTATGAGGGTATGGCAGTACTCAAAAGCTACTGGATAAAACTTTTGACCTTTTGTGAAGGGAGGAAAACTGGAGAACATGGACAAAATTCCTCAAAAAAAGGAAAAAAAAACCAAAAAATATGCTTCAACTCTACTCATATACGATGCTGAGCCCAGGAATCAAACCTGAGTCACATCTCTCCTGAGTCACATTTGTAAGAGGAGAGCGCTCTTAACCCTATTCCACATGTGTTTTACCCCATGTCAATCAAGTAAGTGCTGTGGTAGCCTATGTCTATGTGCTCCCATGGGAACTTAAGGTTAAAACAAGTCATTACCCTAGTTTGTGAAAAACATATAATTACTATTACAGGGCGTAAAATAACGGCTGATCAGTCACCAGTCCTTATCACAGGACATTAGTTTTAGCCTAGCCTCCTTTGTTCCTAAACGTTACTAGTCAAAATGACCAGCAAGGCAAAGATTTGACTGGAAAAGTCCCAGTTCTGGCCACACATTTTCCCATGCCTGGCCCTTATTTTAAGCTCTGATTTTATGACTTAATATATATTTTTCATGAAAGTTACCTGTGTATTAAATATTATGAAGAGATTGTTGCCTAAAATCCAGACAAATGATAGCAGGATTCCTTGACAAAATACCACCCATAGCAAGCTGAGGTTCAACAGTCCAGCAATAGAGTCTATTGCCACTGAATTTCTAGAAATTAATTTGGATAATATTTATGATTTTGAGCCAAAGAAAATACAAAAGATATATTAAGGTCACTTTTTTAAACATTAGATGTCATTAATAGATGATTCATTGTAAAAATCAACATGTGAGTCGAGCATTGCGTGCACAGAACATCAAAACTTGCTTGCTTTGTTGTGTGCAGTCATAAAGCACTTGGGGATTGGCAGAACACTCGAGAAGTGTCCAGAAGCACTCCGCTACGCGTCGTTTTTCTCCTAACACTTCTCTCATGTTCTGCCAACCCCTGCGTGCTTTATAACAGCACACAGCACGCGCACATGTTTTCTATTTCTTCATTTCATTATCTTGCATCTGACTGGCCGGTATTACCTGTCAATAGTAGCTACTAGGAAGCCTGCAATCAGATTCTTAGGAATATTACCTATAAGGCACCAAAGAAAATAAGGTCAAAAAGTGTATAATATTACTGTGAGCAGCCAGGTGAGGCATAACACTAATTTTTAGGGTTCCCTGTATTTTTTTTTTTTTTTTTTTGACTGGCTAAGCTTGTTCTCCAGATTTCACTAACGCGCAAACAAAGGATCATTTCATAATAGTTTGTTTTATCAACCATAAATTTAATAAAGGATTATTTTCTGGGCATGTGTAATATGTTAAATCTGTATAAATTTCATTGGCCGAGTGTGTACTAGGCATTTTATCATCCATGATTGAACTTATGGATTTCACTGTCAAGCAAGGAAGGATGATTTCCTGATTATGCAATATATTCGATTGACTGCAGTCAAGCTTAAATGAATGAAAACATACTCTCAGCTTACCAAACAGATAATACAGTAGATAGTACCACCTCAAGGCCTAGAAATCATTAAAACACAATGAACAGTTAGTGAATACTTTAATGACATGTTTACTTCAAATTTGTAATTATTATGGAAGTTACAGTGTACTACCTTGAATGTTAAAACTACAGCTTTGTAAATACATGGCCAAATAAATGCCTTGATCCTAAAGAATTTTCTTTGCTAAAAAATAAAATAATCATTAATTTATCAAAATGTAAAGAAAAGAATGAATATAGACAGACATAGATTTATTTAGTAGCTCAATGTTTACATCAATCAAAGATATTAAAGAGGAATTGTTCAGAACGTAAGGTACAAGCTATCTAAAATAACTAA